TAAGGAAAAGCACTCATGGACCCAACAAACATTGTAAGAAGGCTGAGGCCTATCTTCATGTTCCTGTACGCAACCATCAGGAAGCACTTACTAGGGTGAATGAGAATGTTTTCCCCAATACGAATGGAGACTTTAAACTAATAAAATGTTATACGATCAAATGATCACAAAGTCTCAGGTTTGGTATCAGATTCCTTGCCAAAATACACCACACTACATTTGTGGAAAACACTGTTAGGTGATTTCAGCTCCGCAGAACCATAGGTTTGGGTTCCCAATGTGCCTAGGCTCCAAAGTCACAAATCAGACATGAACAGGCAGGGATCAGAGGTTTATTCGCTTTGTCCAAAGGTGGTTGTCAGAGAGAAGGCACTCTTAACTCAGATATAAAAGTAATGGATACATACAGAGCCATTTATAGAGACTTGACCACAGTTCAAAAGAATGGACTTCTGCCACTCTGGGCAGATTTTCATGCTGATTGGTGGAGGTGGCCCATCCACTGCTGCAGCTGATTGGTTCCCTGGTCTTGCGGGAAATTTAATAAACTATCATTGCTCCATTTGAAGCTGGTAGTCATTTTCTGTATTCGTCTCCTTTGAGTACTTAAGGAAAGGAATGTAGCCAAGGTCCAGAGTTGAAGGGTTGTTATGGTTGTCATCCTGTCAGCCAGAATCTCACAATGGGCCCTGGCTGAGGAGACAATGGATGCCTTGATGGGTTCCCAGGAAGGGACAAAAGCAATGGGTGACTCAGAGACTTTTTGGGCTGATCAGGGATTAATTCATTGTTAGTTGGAAGAGTTCATTGTTTGCCAGGCAGAGTGGGTATCAGGTGATTGTGTCAACCACCAGAGGAGTGATGAGATTAACTCCATGTCTGGCAAAAAGAAAAATACTAGAAGTAATGAATATGGACAAACTATCCTATTGGATTACACCAAACCATGGTCTCCAGAAAAAACATACAAACTGGAACCTTGTTAAAGACTGTTTTAACTCAATCAATATAGACATGGCAATTTAAAACAAAAAAGTCATGAGAAGGTCAATTTAATACAGGGAAGGAGTAGACTTTCCAAATATGTAAAAACAATTTTGGCCTTTTCTTACAACCACCAAAGAATAGAAGGAAGTCCCAACTTTTTTTTCTCTTCCTCTATTTTTATTATTATTATTATTACCTATTTCAATGTTTTTCCATATACATATGGAAATAAGGTGTTTTTTTAAACTTTCCTTTCCTTTAACCTTACACTTTTTCCTGCCGACCCTTTTTCCTAACTTTCCT